GGAGGGATAACGAACGCCGCCGATCGTGCGCTTCGATTTGGGAGGAAAGGAACGGCTGCTACTTGTTGACGTCGCTTTTCCGAATCCTCGAATTATGAATAATGGATGGCGAGCAGAGGATGGTCCGGTCGAGAACTTTTCTCTCCGGTGTCGAGAGATCGAATCGACCCTTATCTTTTACTGCTCTCTCTGTATCTCTGTCTCTCTCTTTCTCTCGGTGTCGACTCCAGAGTTTTTCAAATTAGGGAGGAGGAACCACGCGTCGTGGTTCGAATAATGTATATCAACTGAACTTCAGGATTCATTTTCAAACGTGTGAGGGATAAATGTTTCGATGTAACGTTTCAAATTTTTCAAGAAGCGTTTAAATTTAATTTTTATAACAGATGTCTCGAAACATTTATTTTAATTTAAATCGTTAGAAATTAAGTTCGATAAGTTTTTTTTTTCGTAAATTAAATTCGCACGATATAATTATTTCTCAATGATTTTTTACACATCGTTCCACGCGAGACAAGAGTCGAATATTTGCTATATATTCGATTCGTGAAAATAATTTTGCAAAATTATATTAAAATTAATATTTATTAATAATATATTATTTAAATAATAATTATTATTAATATTTATTAATTAATATTTATGGATTATTATTATTTTAAGCTAGCTTATATTATAATATATATTTCTATCATTATTTATTTATTATATTTTATTATATTCCTAACTTCAGTTGCCAATTTTTTTTATTCCTTTTGATTTTTGATACGTCGATTTTGTACGTCTTCTTACAGTCTTTTTCCTATTATTTTAAATTATCACCTTTCTCCTGAACATCTGCCACGCAGATATTTCGTTTAATTTCGTTTAAATATGTATTTTCCTTTTTACTCTATACTAATTAAACGCAATGTTAATTACTTTTATATATTATATTTTTTTTTAACGAAATAACAAATTATAACAAAGAGCAATATTGTTTTCTCTAACAAAAAATATTAAATATAAGCTCGAAAAAATAATTTTCTCCAATTAATTCTTATCACTCGAATCACTGTGACGTCGCCCTGACGTTCCGTCAAAATTCCTTCGAAACGAACGCTTATCCTCGAACGTTTCCACAATGGTTCGTCCAGATATATAATCGAGTCGAAGGGCGAGAGTGTTATCGGGGGCAAGTATTTGGACGGTATCGCGGCGGGTCGTAAAGGTAAATCCGGACGCGAGGGTAATCCGTTTCGGAAGACTGCAATTTCTCGCGGCGCGTTGGCACGCGATAAAGCGTTAGCCCACTCTCGCGGCAGTCTATTTCGGAAAAAAGAAATTAATAAATAGATATATAAATATATAACAGTAAATTATTAAATGAATATATATTTATTTATATAAATATTATAATAGATTAAATATTAATTATTTAATATTAATTATTTTAATATTTATATATATAAATATAATTTAATGTAATTATTTAATAGTTATAGATAATTATATTAAATTAAATATATATTTATTTGTATAAATATTAAAACAGATTAAATGTGTTTAATATAATTATTTAATATAATATATTTAATATAAATATCTATATATATTTATATTATGAACTGAACAGTGAAAACAATAAATAGATTGTACGGATATTAGCTGAATGAATATATTTAATTATACGTAATTGCGAGTNTGCGAGTATCTATTTACAAAATATTTATGTTTATCGAAGAAAAACAAATAGATATCAACTGTAAAATAGTGATGTTGTTAGCGACATTTAATAATAAAACCACAAATAAAATTTCAATGAACTTTAAATTCCATAACATACATTTATATAAATAATTAAATATATATAAATATAATTTTATATAATTATTTAATAATTATAAATTATTAAATAAATATATATTTATTTAATGAAGGGAAAGATGGGGAGAAGAGGAAAAAAAAACGCGGAAGGAAAGGTATGATCGGCCATGATGAATTTCACGAAGAGGATGANCCGCCTCCTCCTTCTCCTCCTCCTCGTCCTCCTCCTCCTCCCCCTCCTCTCTTCTTCACGAAAATTTGATCGAGAACCGAATCTCTAAGATTATCGTTTTCTCGCACGATCTATCGTGGATGATACACCGTCCGTGCCGTTACTTTCCCTTATCAATCGATAAAATCTTTTTGCACGCGGCACGGAATAAAACGAATAGGTATATGCGCTATTTGTATCAACGGGGTAAAAGTATCGGTGGGGAAATTTCGCCGACGGAAACTTTATTTTTCCATTTCGTGAAAAGTTTGCAACGAGGTATCTATATACCGTCGGGTATATACACCTCATTCAGAAGGAGATTTAATTCGCAGTAACGAAGAAATACGTGCATAAGGTGTACGAAGGTGAAAATCGTTGCATGGAAAGCGTGCGCCGGACGGCGATAGCCGAGACGACTGCGTGTGTCCCTTT